ACAGAGACCCACAGACTCATCACACAAAGACCCACAGACTCACCACACAGAGACCCACAGACTCACCACACAGAGACTCATAGACTCACCACACAGAGACCCATAGACTCATCACACAGAGACCCACAGACTCACCACACAGAGACCCACAGACTCACCACACAGAGACCCACAGACTCATCACACAGAGACCCATAGACTCATCACACAGAGACCCACAGACTCATCACACAGACCCACAGACTCACCACACAGAGACCCATAGACTCATCACACAGAGACCCACAGACTCACCACACAGAGACCCACAGACTCACCACACAGAGACCCACAGACTCATCACACAAAGACCCACAGACTCACCACACAGAGACCCACAGACTCACCACACAGAGACTCATAGACTCACCACACAGAGACCCATAGACTCACCACACAGACACCCACAGACTCATCACACAGACCCACAGACTCATCACACAGAGACCCACAGACTCATCACACAGAGACCCACACACTCACCACACAGACCCACAACTCATCACACAGAGACCCACAGACTCACCACACAGAGACCCACAGACTCACCACACAGAGACTCACAGACTCACCACACAGACCCACAAACTCATCACACAGAGACCCACAGACATCACCACACAGAGACCCACAGACTCACCACACAGAGACTCACAGACTCACCACACAGAGACCCACAGACTCATCACACAGAGACCCACATACCACACAGAGACCCACAGACTCATCACACAGAGGCCCACAGACTCATCACACAGAGACCCATAGACTCATCACACAGATTCATAGACTCACCACACAGAGACCCACAGACTCATCATACAGAGACCCATAGACTCACTACACAGAGACCCATAGACTCACCACACAGAAACCCACAGACTCACCACACAGAGACCACAGACTCACCACACAGACCCATAGACTCATCACAGAAATGCATAGGATCACCACAGAGACTCATAGACTCATCATACAGAGTCACATATGCTCACACAGAGACCCATAGACTCATACAGAATCCCATATACTCACAGAGACCCAAGACTTCACACAGACCCATAGACTCATGACAGAGATCCATAGACTCACCACACAGAGATCCATAGACTCACCACACAGAGACCCATAGACTCATCATACAGAATCCCATATACTCACACAGAGACCCATAGACTCACTACACAGAGATCCATAGACCCACCACACAGACCCATGCACCTAGCTTAGCACAGCAGTCAACCCATGGCACCTGCAGGGTCTGTCCCGTGACCTGCACCTAGCCTGGCACAGCAGTCAACCCACGGCGCCTGCTGTAACGGGAAGGCATCTTCTGTAACGGGAAGACATCTTCTGGAAGAGGAAGACATCTTCTGTAACGGGAAGACGTCTTCCGTGATGAGTTTTCAATCCACCAATGAGAAGAGGGCTGCGGGGTGACGCGGCAACGCCGGCAGCCAATCAGAGAAGCGGCTCGCGCCTGAAGGGGGCGGGGCATCAGCGCGTGACGTCACCGTGGTGACGAGAGGCGCTCTGACAATCTCCCATCAACAACTACCACCACAACAACAACAACTACTTGTATATCACTGCTGCTACTGCTACTACCCTGTGAGTATCACAACAACAACAACTCGTGTAGTGGTTGTTGTTGTAAGAGGTAGACATTCAGCAACACTGTTGTAGTGTAGACAAAATGGCGGGTGTGTGGTGACGTCACCGCCAACAGTGTGTGGTGGTGATGGTGGTGGGGGTGGTGATGGTGATGATGATGGTGGTGATGGTGGGTGATGGTGGTGGTGATGGTGGTGGTGATGGTGGTGGTGGTGGTGATGGTGATGGTGGTGATGGTGGTGGTGATGGTGGTGGTGGTGATGATGGTGGTGATGGTGGTGATGATGATGGTGGTGGTGATGGTGGTGGTGATGGTGGTGGTGGTGATGGTGGTGGTGATGGTGGTGGTGGTGATGGTGGTGATGGTGGTGGTGGTGGTGGTGATGGTGGTGGTGGTGGTGATGGTGATGATGGTTGGTGGTGATGGTGTGATGTTGGTGATGGTGTGATGGTGGTGGTGGTGATGTGGTGATGGTGATGGTTTGGTGGTGGGTGATGGTGTGGTGGTGATGGTGGTGGTGGTGGTGGTGGTGGTGGTGGTGGTGGTGATGGTGTGGTGATGGTGGTGGTGATGATGGTGTGTGGTGGTGGTGATGGTGGTGGTGGTGGTGATGGTGGTGGTGGTGGTGATGGTGGTGGTGCATGTTGGTGGTGGTGGTGATGGTGGTGGTGTGTTTGGTGTTGATTGGGTGAGTGGTGATGGTGGTGGCTGATGGTGGTGGTGGTGATGTGGTGGTGGTGGTGATGGTGGTGGTGATGGTGGGTGGATGATGGTGGTGGTGTGGTGGTGGTGATGTGGTGATGTGGTGATGGTGGTGGTGGTGGTGATGGTGGTGGATGGTGGTGATGGTGGTGGTGGTGGTGATGGTGGTGGTGATTGGTGGTGGTGGTGGTGGTGGTGGTGGTGATGGTGTGTGGTGGTGGTGGTGATGGGTGGGATGGTGGTGGATGGTGATGGTGGTGAGTGGTGGTGGTATGGTGATGGTGGTGGTGGTGGTGGTGGTGGTGGTGATGGTGGTGGTGGTGGTGGTGATGTGGTGGTGTGGTGGTGGGGTGTGATGGTGGTGGTGATGGTGGTGGTGATGGTGGTGGTGATGGTGGTGGTGATGGTGGTGGTGATTGTGGTGGGTGGTGGTGATGGTGGTGGTGGTGATGGTGGTGGTGGTGGTGATGGTGGGTGATGGTGGTGGTGGTGGTGATGGTGGTGGTGGTGGTGATGGTGGGTGATGGTGGTGGTGGTGATTGTGGTGGTGGTGATGGTGGTGGTGGTTGTGATGGTGGTGGTGGTGATGGTGGTGATGGTGGTGGTGGTGGTGTGATGGTGGTGGTGGTGATGGTGGTGGTGGTGGTGGATGGTGGTGGTGGTGGTGATGGTGGTGGTGATGGTGGTGGTGGTGATGGTGGTGGTGATGGTGGTGGTGGTGATGGTGGTGGTGGTGATGGTGGTGGTGGTGGTGGATGGTGGTGGTGGAGGTGGTGGTGATGGGTGGTGGTGATGGTGGTGGTGGTGATGGTGGTGGTGGTGATGGTGGTGATGGTGGTGGTGGTGTGATGGTGGTGGTGGTGGTGATGGTGGTGATGGTGGTGGTGGTGATGGTGGTGTGGTGATGGTGGTGGTGATGGTGGTGATGGTGGTGTGGTGATGGTGGTGGATGGTGGTGGTGATGGTGGTGGTGGTGGGTGATGGTGGTGGTGGTTGATGGTGGTGGTGGTGGTGATGGTGGGTGGTGGTGGTTGATGGTGGTGGTGGTGGTGGTGATGGGGGTGGTGGTGGTGGTGATGGTGGTGGTGGTGATGGTGGTGGTGGTGGTGATGGTGGTGGTGGTGGTGGTGATGGTGGTGGTGGTTGATGGTGGTGGTGGTGATGGTGGTGGTGGTGGTGGTGGTGATGGTGGTGGTGGTGATGGTGGTGATGGTGGTGGTGATGATGGTGGTTGATGGTGGTGGTGATGGTGGTGGTGATGGTGATGGTGGTGGTGGTGATGGTGGTGGTGGTGATGGTGGTGGTGGTGATGATGGTGGTGGGGTGGTGGTGGTGAATGGTTGGTGGTGATGGTGGTGTGTGGTGATGATGGTGGTGGTGGTGATGGTGGTGGTGGTGATGGTGGTGGTGTGATGGTGGTGGTGGTGGTGATGGTGGTGGTGGTGGTGATGGTGGTGGTGGTGATGATGGTGGTGGTGGTGGCTGGTGTGATGATGGTGGTGGTGGTGGCGGTGGTGATGATGGTGGTGATGGTGGTGGTGGTGATGGTGGTGGTGGTGGTGATGGTGGTGGTGGTGGTGGTGATGGTGGTGGTGGTGGTGGTGATGGTGGTGGTGATGATGGTGGTGATGGTGGTGGTGGTGATGGTGGTGGTGGTGATGGTGGTGGTGGTGGTGATTGATGGTGGTGGTGATGATGGTGGTGATGGTGGTGCTGATGGTGGTGATGGTGGTGGTGATGGTGGTGGTGATGGTGATGGTGGTGGTGGTGGTGGTGTGATGGTGGTGGTGGTGATGGTGGTGATGTGGTGGTGGTGGTGATGGTGGTTGGTGGTGTTGATGGTGGTGGTGGTGGTGATGATGGTGGTGGTGGTGATGGTGGTGATGGTGGTGGTGGTGGTGATGGTGGTGGTGGTGGTGGTGGTGATGGTGGTGGTGGTGGTGATGGTGGTGGTGGTGATGATGGTGGTGGTGGTGGCGGTGGTGATGATGGTGGTGGTGGTGGCGGGTGGTGATGATGGTGGTGATGGTGGTGGTGATGGTGGTGATGGTGGTGGTGGTGGTGGTGATGATGGTGGTGATGGTGTTAGTAGTGATGGTGGTGGTGATGATGGTGGTGGTGATGATGGTGGTGGTGGTGATGGTGGTGATGATGATGGTGGTGGTGATGGTGGTGACGGTGTTCACGGTGTGTGCAGCTTGCAGGATGGACTGGCGAGGGCAGCGGTGACGGACTGGTGGTGATGATGGTGGTGGTGGTGATGGTGGTGGTGGTGATGGTGGTGGTGGTGACGGTGTGATGATGGTGATGATGATGGTGGTGGTGGTGGTGGTGACGGTGTTCGCGGCGTGTGCAGCTTGCAGGATGGACGGTGACGGACTGGGCTCCTGCGGCCACCGCCCTGCTGCGTCTAGCCGAGCCGCGGGCCTCACCGCGGCCAACTTCGCCGACTTCGGCGACTTTGTTCGCCTGATGTTCGGCAACGTTGACGGCAATCGGCGATTGCGACGGCGCCGACTGCAGCGACTCGGAGGGCGTCGCCTTCAGCGACATCGTCGGCGACTTTGACGGCGTCACTTTCGGCCACGTCAACTGGATTGGTGATGACGACGACGATGGTGGTGGTGACGACGGTGGTGGTGGTGTTGAGTGCCACGGCGGTGGCGATGGTGGTGAGTGCCGTGACGGTGGCCACGGTGGTGGTGGTGGTGACGACGGTGGTGGTGGCGGTGGTGGTGGTGGTGGTGGCGGTGGTGGTGCTGGATTGAGGGAGGGCTCTGAAAGCTCCATCCCCACAATGCCGGAGCCGACGCGCAAACGGCAACACCAGAGGTACACGCATACACTCACACACTCACACACTTACACACTTACACACACACACACTTACATACACTTACACACACTTACCCACACACTCACACTTACATACACACTCACACTTACATACACACACACTTAGACACTTACACACACACTCACACTTACATACACACACACTTAGACACTTACACACACTTACACACACACTCACACTTACATACACACACACTTAGACACTTACACACACTTACACACACACTCACACTTACATACACACACACTTAGACACTTACACACACTTACACACACACTTACACACTCACACTTACACACACACTTAGACACTCACACACTCACACACTTACACACTCACACTTACATACACACACACTTACACACACTTACACACACACACTTACACACACACACTTACACACTCACACTTACATACACACACACTTAGACACTTACATACACACACACTTAGACACTTACACACACACACTTACACACTTACACACACACACTTACACACTTACACACACACACTTACACACACACACTTACACACACACACTTACACACTTACACACACACACTTACACACACACACTTACACACACACACTTTACACACACACACTTACACACTTACACACACACACTTACACACTTACACACACTTACACACACACACTTACACATACTTACACACACACACTTACACACACACACTTACACACACACACTTACACACTTACACACACACACTTACACACACTTACACACACACACTTACACACACTTACACACACTTACACACACACACTTACACACACACACACTTACACACACTTACACACACACACACTTACACACACACACACTTACACACACACACTTACACACACTTACACACTTAGACACTTACACACACTTACACACACTTACACACACACACACTTACACACACACTTACACACACACACGTACACATACACACTTACACACACACACTTACACACACTTAAACTTACACACACACACGTACACATACACACTTACACACACTTACACACTTACACACACGTACACACACTTACACATACACACTTACACATACACACACTTACATATACACACTTACACACACTTACACACTTACACACACTTACACACACTTACACACACTTACACACACTTACACACACCTACACACTTACACACACACACTTACACACACTTACACACACTTACACACACCTACACACTTACACACACACACTTACACACACTTACACACACACACTTACACACAATTACACACACTTACACACACACACACACACTTACACACACTTACACACACTTACACACACACACTTACACACACACACTTACACACACTTACACACACTTACTTACACACACTTACACACACTTACACACACCTACACACTTACACACACACACTTACACACACTTACACACACTTACACACACACACTTACACACACTTACACACACTTGCACACTTACACACACTTACATTCTTACACACTTACACATTCTTTGGTTCTTTCGGTAAAGTCACATAGATATAAAAAGTTTATGAATTTCTGCAGTCACCAAAGTTTTATGTAAAAATGTACACGAAAAAAAGACAAAGATCCCCCGTATAGCCTTAACAGACTGTAGGGGCAGGTGCTGTTAGCGAGCACCTATGAAGGACGGCACGGCACACGAGGGGGTGGGTGGCCAGCACCACGCCCGGCCGCCTTTGTGTCCCCAGTGGCGATGTTTACACACCGCACCAGGTACTCATTTGAGGCTGAGTCGACCTAGGGGAGTGAGTGTCACTGTGGGTGAATGTCACTGTGGGTGGGTGTCACTGTGAGTGTCACTGTGGGTGAGTGTCACTGTGTCACTGTGGGTGGATGTCACTGTGTCACTGTGGGTGAGTGTCACTGTGTCACTGTGGGTGGGTGTCACTGTGTCACGTGGTTACCCACAGCTCCGTCTCTGGCAGCAGTAAGAGGATGAAGACACAGAACACGGTGAGTCTGCAGCGTGCACACAGCTGTGTGTGTGTGTGTGACTGTGTGTGTGTGTGACCCTGTGTGTGTGTCACCCTGTGTGTGTGTGTGACTGTGTGTGTGACTGTGTGTGTGTGACTGTGTGTGTGTGTGACTGTGTGTGTGTGTGTGTGACTGTGTGTGTCACCCTGTGTGTATGTCACCCTGTGTGTGTGTGTGTGACTGTGTGTGTGACTGTGTGTGTGTGACTGTGTGTGTCACCCTGTGTGTGTGTGTGACTGTGTGTGTGTGTGTGATGTGGGAAGCTGTAAGCCCCAGGATACTTTGGGCTCACCTTCCCATCAACCAGAGGCGAGGAGTGGTGGTCGTGGTTAATTATGCCCCCACCGAAGACGAACATCCGTGGAGGGATGCAGGCAAAGCCGATGAGTCAGACTCTTTCTATGACCTCCTGTCACAGGTGCTGGCTAAAGTGGCCACTCGGGACAGAGTCATCTTGTTGGGTGACTTCAATGCCCGAGTTGGTCATGATGCTGGCACCTGGTCTGGAGTGATTGGAAGACATGGGCCAGATCAGCTCAATAATAACGGTAGGAGGCTGCTAGATTTTTGTGCAGCCCATGGGCTTGTAATTACCAACACGCTCTTCCAGCATCGGCGCATCCACACAACATCATGGATACATGCCGGGTCCAAGCAAGAACATCTGCTGGACTACATAGTGACGGACCAGCGGATGCGAGCCCATGTCCTTGACACCAGGACCTACCGTGGAGCTGATCTGTCCTCTGACCATCGACTAGTCATCTGTAAGATGTGCCTGCCTTTCTTCCACTCCGGTGGTGGGTGTACACCCAGGATCCCATTCCAACCAAAAGTGGCCTGGTCTCAGTTAGCTGATGAAAGTTGCAAGCGAGAATTTCATCATCGCTTGCAGCTGGGGTTGGCATCGTCCCCCACTCCACCTGATGTCGAGGGGAAATGGGCGAGGTTTAGGACTGTGACTCATGCAGCTGCAATGGCTGCTTTGGGTACGCGGTCCAGACCTCCCCAGAAACCCTGGCTGACAGAGGAGGTGTTCAGGTTAATTGAGAAAAAGCGACAGGCCCACTCTCATCGCCTACAGCATCCCACGTCAGAGAATGAGGAGGTTTACCGCAGCCTTCGCTCGGAAGTTCGGAGAGCCGTAAGGCGCTGTAAGGATGGGTGGTGGTCGCGGGTTGCTGAGGAGATGGAGTCTGCCTCAGTGGCCCGTGATCACAAATCACTATTTAACTCCATCAAAAAAGTAACCTGCAGCGCCACACCTATTACCATCATTAGAGAAAAAAACGGTGATCCAATCTCCGACCCCCAGGAACAGGTTTTCAGATTTGCTGAGCATTTCTGTGAGGTCCTGGGGGAGGGAAATTCTCTCAGCCAGGAAAACATCATGGCACAAAGTGGTGATAACCCTGCTGAGGCTGCGGTGCCTCAAATATTGGAAGAGGTCACCCCCTGTGAGTGGCTGGCTGAGGTGCCAGCTGTTGAGGAAGTACTGAGGGCGATCCGGAGTCTGAGACCAGGGAAGGCACCGGGCAGAGATGATCTCCCAAGCGAAATGCTGAGGGAGTGTGGCGTTTGTGCACAGACTGCCCTATATGACATCATAACAACAGTCTGGACCACTGGACGGGTTCCGCAGGACTGGAAGGATGCCCTGGTGGTCCCCCTCTTTAAGAAGGGGGACCGTACCGACTGTAACAACTACAGGGGCATCTCACTCCTCAGTGTGCCGGGTAAGGTCCTGGCAAGGATTATTCAACATCGCCTTGCTAGGCACGCTGAGGAGAGGCTTGCGGAGCCCCAATGCGGTTTCAGGAAAGGGCGGTCCTGCACAGATGCCATATTTTCTGTCCGTCTGCTACAGCAGAGGTGTAGGGAATTCCAAAAAGACCTACATCTCTGCTTTATTGACCTGGTCAAGGCCTATGATACCATCAGTAGGACTGGGCTCTGGGTTGTTCTTCGTGCTTTCGGAGTCCCTGACCCTCTGCTCACGATCATTAAGGACCTTCATGATGGTGAGCGGGCCCGGGTAAAACTACGTGGCCGGGAGTCAGAGCCTTTCCCTGTACACCTTGGGGTGCGACAGGGATGTCCTCTGGCTCCCACATTATTTAACATTTATTTTGACCGCGTAGTTCGTGAAGCCTTCAATAGCTGTACCGGGGGAATTTCCATTTGGTACAGATATAATGGGAGGCTGATCGATGCCCGGGTGCGATCAAGGGATGGCTCCCTATTGGTCAACCACGTTATGTATGCCGATGATTTGGTAATAGCTGCTCATTCAGAAGAGGAGTTGGAGACGCTGCTGCTAAGACTGGAGCGTGCCACTAAGAGGTGGGGCCTTACCATCAGCCCCACCAAAACTAAGCACCTGCCTGGGTATTTTGTACCATCGGACACTCCACCCCCACAACTCCCAATTGGTGATGGGGCAGTTGTGGAGAGAGTGGAGAGTTTCCCATACCTGGGCAGTGTGCTTTTGACCGGCTCCAGTTTATCAGCAGAGGTCTCACTCCGAATCAGTCGAGCGGCAATATCTTTTCATCGGTTGCGTAACGCTGTGTGGAAGCTACCTGGTCTGTCGCTCCGCACGAAGCTTCAGGTCTTCTCGGCCACGGTCATTCCCTCCCTTCTCTACGCTTGCGAGACGTGGACCCCCCTGGTGGAGCATCTTCGCCGGTTGGAAACATTTAGGCTGGCCTGCCTACGATCCATCCTGGGTTTAACCAGGCTGGATTGTGTGAGGAGCTCACAAATCCTTGAAAGATCTGGGCAAAGTCCCATCAGTGAGCTCCTCCGGCAGGCAAGGCTGCGTTGGCTGGGTCATGTAGCCCGCATGCCCAGCCACCGCATGCCTAAACAGCTTTTGTTCGGCCGGATCGAGGGGGCTAGACGGGCGCGGCACGGGCTGGAGAAGAGATGGAGTGATGTGGTACGGGAGGACGTGGAGCTGAGTGGACTTGCCGATGACTGGTACCAGCGGTGTCAAGATCGGCCTCAGTGGAGGAGGCTCGTGAAGGACGCTACTGGGCAGTTGGAGGCAGTCGCCCTCCAACAACAACGGAGGGCGGAGGAGCGATGCTCACAACAACGAGCGGAGCGCCGGGTGGCTAAAGCACAGCAAGTTGGTACAGTAGGGGGCACAGGTGGTGCATCAGCCAGTCATCTCGGTCATCTCGGTCAGTCGACCCGTGGCACCTGGGTCTGCCCCGTGACCTCCTGCCAGCGGGCGTTCGACACTTCACGTGGCCTCAAGGTGCACTTGGCCTGGCACAAGCATCGTGGTGACGTCACCGCCACTTAGTGGCAAATGGCGGTTGTTGTTGTTGTGTGTGTCACCTTGTGTGTGTGTGTGAGCCTGCAGCGTGCACACAGGTGTGTGTGTGTGTCACCCTGTGTGTGTGTGTGACTGTGTGTGTGTGACTGTGTGTGTGTCACCCTGTGTGTGTGTGTGACTGTGTGTGTTTCACCCTGTGTGTGTGTGTGACTGTGTGTGTGAGCCTGTGTGTGTGACTGTGTGTGTGTGACTGTGTGTGTGACTGTGTGTGTGTGTGACTGTGTGTGTGTCACCCTGTGTGTGTGTGACTGTGTGTGTTTCACCCTGTGTGTGTGTGTGACTGTGTGTGTGAGCCTGTGTGTGTGACTGTGTGTGTGTGACTGTGTGTGTGACTGTGTGTGTGTGTGTGACTGTGTGTGTGTCACCCTGTGTGTGTGTGACTGTGTGTGTGTCACCCTGTGTGTGTGTGACTGTGTGTGTGAGCCTGTGTGTGTGACTGTGTGTGTGTGACTGTGTGTGTGTGTGACCCTGTGTGTGTGTGACCCTGTATGTGTGTGACCCTGTGTTTGTGTGAGCCTGCAGCGTGCCCACAGGTGTACGGGTGTGTGTGTGTGACCCTGTGTGTGTGTGTGACCCTGTGTGTGTGTGTGACCCTGTGTGTGTGTGACCCTGTGTGTGTGTGTGACCCTGTGTGTGTGTGAGCCTGCAGCGTGCCCACAGGTGTACGGGTGTGTGTGACCCTGCGTGTGTGACCCTGCGTGTGTGAGCCTGTGTGTGTGTGACTGTGTGTGTGTGGGTGTCTGTGTGGGTGTGACTGTGTGTGTGTGACTGTGCGGATGTGTGTGTGACTGTGTGTGTGTGAGCCTGTGTGTGTGTGACTGGGTGTGTGGGTGTCTGTGTGGGTGGGTGTCTGTGTGTGTGTGACTGTGTGGGTGTGTGAGTGTGGGTGGGTGTCTGTGTGTGTGTGTGACTGTGTGGGTGTGTGTGTCTGTGTGGGTGGGTCTCTGTGTGTGTGTGACTGTGTGGGTGGGTGTGTCTGAGTCGGAGCCTTTCCCTGTACACCTTGGGGTGCGACAGGGATGTCCTCTGGCTCCCACATTATTTAACATCTATTTTGACCACGTAGTTCGTGAAGCCTTCAATAGCTGTACCGGGGGAATTTCCATTTGGTACAGATATAATGGGAGGCTGATCGACGCCCGGGTGCGATCAAGGGATGGCTCCCTATTGGTCAACCACGTTATTTATGCCGATAATTTGGTAATAGCTGCTCATTCAGAAGAGGAGTTGGAGACGCTGCTGCTGAGACTGGAGCGTGCCACTAAGAGGTGGGGCCTTACCATCAGCCCCACCAAAACTAAGCACCTGCCTGGGTATTTTGTACCATCGGACACTCCACCCCCACAACTCCCAATTGGTGATGGGGCAGTTGTGGAGAGAGTGGAGAGCTTCCCATACCTGGGCAGTGTGCTTATGACCGGCTCCAGTTTAACAGCAGAGGTCTCACTCCGAATCAGTCGAGCGGCAATATCTTTTCATCGGTTGCGTAACGCTGTGTGGAAGCTACCTGGTCTGTTGCTCCGCACGAAGCTTCAGGTCTTCTCGGCCACGGTCATTCCCTCCCTTCTCTACGCTTGCGAGACGTGGACCCCCCTGGTGGAGCATCTTCGCCGGTTGGAAACATTTAGGCTGG